AAAAAAAAAAAACTTTTTTTAAATTTAAAAAAAAAAATTTTTAATTGAATTTTGGGAAATTATCAAATTATATAAAATGGGCTTCCGTGGCAATAACTATTCCCTCAACATTTTTGCGTTTAAAAACGAACTATTCTTCTGTCCTTATCAATGTCATTAACTGAGGGACTACTGTATTGACACAAAGGAACAAAAAATACTTAAAGCAGTAACTACAGCTAGCAACAGCCTGGTTGACCAGGCAAGCACCAGATAGCCTGGCCCATGGCCAGGCCCAGAGAGTAGAGAAACTCGAACTCTTCAAAGGATATCATAAGTACAGTGGACCCCGGTCACGATATTAATCACGTTCCTGAGAGCTCATTGTAAGCCAAAATTATCGGAAAGCGAATCAGTTTTCCCCATAAGAAATAATGGAAATCAAATTAATCCGTGCAAGACACCCAAAAGTATGAAAAGAACTTTTTTTTTACCACATGAAATATTAATTTTAATACACACAAACTGAAGAAGACATGCACAGTTACATGACGCTTACCTTATTGAAGATCTGATGATGATTGATGGGATGGGGGAGGGGGAGAGTGTCCGATGGTCTTAGTGTTTAGAAGGGGAATCCCTTCCATTAAGACTTGGTGTCAAGTCCTTTTCTGGGGTTACTTCCCTTCTTCTTTTAATGCCACTAGGACCAACAGCACTTGACGTGCTGTTGGAGTGTGAGCAAAGTAACATTTATGAAGGGATTCAGGGAAACCGGCAGGCCGGACTTGAGTCCTTGGAGATGGGGGGAAGTACAGTGCCTGCACTGAAGGAGGGGTGCTAATGTTGCAGTTTAAAAATTGTAGTGTAAAGCACCCTTCTGGCAAGACAGTGATGGAGTGAATGATGGTGAAAGTTTTTCTTTTTCGGGCCACCCTGCCTTGGTGGGAATCGGCCAGTGTGATAATAAAATAATAAAAGGACCAGCTTGAGAGTCACTGGACCTCTGTTGCCATTCCTTTAAGATTTGTCTAAAATGGGCCATAACATTGTCATTGTAATAGTCACCAGCACGGCTTGCAATAGCTGTGTTAAGGTGATTTTCATCCATAAAGGTTTGCAGTTCAACCCACTTTGCACACATTTCCTTAATTTTTGAAGTAGGCACAATGGAGTCCACAACTGGCATAGGCTTCTCAGGGTTAGCCCCAAACCCTTCAAAATCTTTCTTAATTTCCATACTAATTCTCATCCTTTTTACCACAGGGTTGGCACTAGAAGTTTTCTTGGGGCCCATGGTGACTTATTTTGCAGAAACAAGCACCAAAAACAGTGATAATGTGGATAATATGGAACGTACCGAATGTATCCTTAGATGCGCGCACACTGGCTGGCTTGTAAACACTGGCACACACGGGGCAGTTCAGGCCACACGTGGACACGTCTCATATGCATCGTATCGCATACCGGGTTTTGTATCGGGAAGCGAGGCAAATTTTTTTCGATCAAATGCATCGGCTACCGGATTTATCGGATACCGATAGCATCGGGAACCGGGGTTCCACTGTATAGAAATACTTGGTGGAATACACTTGTAGATAGGCAACACATTTCTGCTTCATTATATTGCATTGCACAATATTATACAGTACTGTTTCTTTGATGGTGCTACTAAAAATAATGTTAGATGTCCCAAGCACAGCATAATCATTGTTATGGCATTGTTAGTGATGTTTCATGTCCATGACAGAACATGATCATTGGCACCTCGCAAATGGATGGAGCAATCTTGGTAGTGGCAGCCACAGATGGAGTGATGCCTCAGACCAGAGAACATCTCATTCTTTCCAAGCAAATTGGCATTGAACACATTGTAGTCTTCATAAATAAGGTTAGTGATAATGAAATTATTTGTAGATTGCCTATACTGATAAATTGCTTATTACGAATGAAGTTGAACTAGTGTAAAACAGTGTGATATTTGTTGTGGTTGTTTAGCTAATTATGTATTTAAAGAAACAGTATTTCATAATTGTACTGATTAAGTATTTTTCATTTGAAATGGCCAGCTGCTCTGATATATAATGAATATTTATGCTTTTGACAATATATATACAGTAGGGCCCACTTATGCGGCAAGTTAGGTTTCAGGCTACTGCTGGAAAGCAGAACGCTATTTTTTTCCACTTATAAATGCATATAATGCCATATAACAAGTTCACACTAACATATATTAAGTTAGCAATAAAACTAGATATTAAAAAACAATAAAAAGTAAAGTACACACACAGTACACTCATTATTTACCTCAAAATATTTGCAAATCTTTATGTAGGGCAAAAGGTGAGTAGTATTTATTGTAAGAAGTCAGGGTGCGGTAGCCTCCTGGCCACCCACCCACACATAATATACTATGATGATGCTTAAAGCTCCCTAGAGTGATAAAATGCATATACAGTACACTCATTACTTACCTTAAAATATTTGTAGTCTTAATGTAGGGGAGAGGTGAAAAGTATTTATTTGTAGAAAGTCGTGTGGGAAGTAGGGTAGGGTTGTCCGCCTGGCCTCCCTACTCACTATGTAAACAAACAGACAAAGCATCTAGTTATGGTTCGTAAACATTCATACAAACACTTTACATTGTGTACAAGTTGTCTCCACAGTGGTATAGTAGAATAAATAAAGACCAACACTTCCATTCTCATGTAATTTTTAGAAAGAATGATGCTCTGTTGTTGTTATTACAAAGTTGTTGTTATTACAGTCATAGTAAAAAAGAACCACTAAGCCCACAAGGGTCGTGAATAGCTAGAGTGAAGGCATATGAAAGGAATAATTTCTAGTTAAGTTACTGGTGTTTGGCTAGAGATAACGTAATTCTTCCGACTCCTACAAACCACTTGGTAAGCAAATCTCATTTATGTTGTTTTTACACTGTGGGTGTATGTATCATGTTTGTTACTTAGCGTGTTATATAATTTTGAAAAAAAAATATCGTAGATGGATTCATGGAAATGTCTATATTAATGCAATATACAACATTTAATGCACCTGAGAGATTACGTATTTTATTATATGGAGTCAAGAGTAGAGACTATTAGTGATTTTAATGTAGTACCGGCATGCCAGCACAGTGTGAAAGTATATTTAGGTACAGGTACACATTAGTATAATTATCAGAGTACATATAAAATATGCAGTAACTTTGAAACACTTGAAATTTTGCAAAGCTTTCAGACATAATAGAGATTGCTTATGGAGAATGTAAACAAACCAGGTGGGGTGCGCTGTATTTGAAAGACCACTCGCTGTATAACAAATTTTGGTCATAATTTGAAATCGCTTATTAATGGAACACTGTAAGGTGAAACGCTGTAAAGCGAGACCCTACTGTATTCCATTAATTATTAATAATGCAACATTTTCCAGCTTGATGCCGCTGATGAGGAGATGGTAGAGTTAGTGGAAATGGAAGTCCGTGAACTGATGACAGAAATGGGTTATGATGGTGATAGTGTTCCAGTTGTGAAGGGATCTGCTCTGGCTGCCATCGAAGGAAATAATGACAAAATAGGTATGGTAGACCTATGTCTTCATTTAAATCATAGCCTTAATAATATAAACTCTCTGGCAGGTGTTGTGACTTCTTTGCCATTGTATTGTATAGGAAAATATGGATATTAATTCTAGTAAAAAATTAATGTAAGGGTTTATCTTGCTGCCTGTAATGTGTTTTTTTTTTTTTTTTTTTTTTTTTTTTTTTTTTTTTTTTTTTTTTTTTTTTTTTTTTTTTTGCTGAGTGAGAAATATGTTCTAGTTTTTTTTTTTTTTTTAACACATCGACTGTTTCCCACCAAGACAGGGTGACTCAACACTTTCACCATCACTCATACATAATCACTGTCTTTGCAGAGGCGCTGAGATAGGACAGTTTAGACATCCCTCAAAACTGTCAATATCCCAAACACCACCTTTAAAGTGCAGGCATTGTACTTCCCTTTTCAGGACTCAAGTCCTACTAACTGATTTTCCTGAATCCCTCACAAAGTATTAGCCTTCTCACACTCTAACAGCTCATCAGGTTCCAAAAACCATTTGTCTATTCATTCCTATCTAACACACTCGCGCATACTTGCTGGAAGTCCAAGCCCCTTGCCCACAAAACCTTTTTTACTCCCTCCCTCCAACCTTTTTGAGGACGACCCCTATCCCACCTTCTTTCCCCTACAGATTTATATGCTCTCCAAGTTGTTCTACTTTGTTCCTTTCTCTCTAAATAACCAAACCACTTCAACAATCCATCTTCAGCCCTCTGACTAATAATTATAGTAACTCCACACCGCATCCTAATTCCCACACTACGAATTCTCTGCATAATATTTACACCATACATTGCCCTTAGACAGGACATCTCCACTCCCTCCAGCCGCCGCCTCTTGGTTTTTGTTTAAGCCGACATCCTCCTCCCTGTTAATCTGTTATACTGAAGTTTTACTGTACTGTACTTTTAATTGTTTTCCTCACAACCAAGATTAAAGTAGCAAGTGAAAAATTTCAGGAATGTGAATGTATTAGATATGAAAATAAATGCTAAGTAACTCCTTAGAAGTGGTCAAAGACTAAATTTCTTTAAATATTTTATTTAAAAGAAAATAAGTCATCCAGGATATCTTCAATGTATGTTTCTATGTTACTTCAGTAGGAACTATAAAATATAAATCTCTTCTCTTATCTGTAAATGTAATCGTTGCTGAAAAAAGCTCTGATTTAGTGCTTTACTGAAATTTAATAATAAAATATGAATTATAATTTATTAATAAAATTTATGCTTTTCATTGGAAATGCTTATCATAATTTTTCTTTACAGGTGTTAAGGCTATTGAAGAGCTTATGGAAATAGTTGATAAGCATATTCCAACTCCTCTGCGTGATTTGGACAAACCATTCTTGCTACCTTGTGGAGAGTGTCTACTCCATTGCTGGTTTGTTCACTAGATTTTTTTAAAATCTTCGAATTATTATATATTGGTAAAAAAATCTATATAGTATGGTTTAATTCTTAATTTATCTTGAATGAAAGTCTGTATTGCTAATACCTGACAACTCTTTCCTTGTCAGCCTTTATCACTGGGAAGAATACTTTATTGAATCATCCCTTCTTCATGCTGCTTGTTTCACCAAACCATTTGACATATTTATACATCAGTAACCTTCATCATTTGTTTGCTCTTTTGTGATGTTCTTTTAGGTACTGCTTTCAGTATGTCAAACTAAGGACCTACAAGCTTTTTATATTTATGTAAGTGGAACCTCGGCTTTCGTTTGCTCTGGTTTTCGTTGAATTCGTTTTCGACGACGTTTTTTGTCAAAGTTTTGTCCAGTTTTCGTTCCTACCTTGGTTTTCATCTGTCACTGTAAGAAGGTGTCCACTTGCCCATCCCACACAAATCATCCACACATTCTGCATCGGTCTGGCTTTCTCTCTCGTTGAGTGAGCAATTAACTAGCGTTCATCAGAAACATTTCGTAAAAATCCTGTTGTTTTTGTGCTTCTTTATGAGTGCGACTACTAAATAAGGCCACCATGGGGCCAAACGAAAGCTCTGAGTTGCAGTCCCTTTATAAAGAAGGCGAGAAATACGATAGATTCAAGAAAGAACTTGTAGCAAAGTATGAAAGTGGCATTGGGAGTAGCAATGTACGAAAGTGACCGCAGCTGAGGAATTGCTTCAGAGGAGGAGGAAGAGGACAGGGGAGATGTGCCTTCTTCAGTGATTAAGGGAAAATGTGTGCAAAGTGGATTGACGTTGCAAAGTTTCATGGAGAATTATCACCCTAACTAAAGCTATTGCAAGCTGTGTCTGCAACATGATTCAATGACAATGCCTTGTCCCATTTTAGGCAGTCTTAGAGATGCTAGAAAAGACCTTCTGAGAGATTTTTTGTGTGGCAGGGGTCAGAGCCTGTAAAAGTCCACAGCCCAAGCCGCCCACAATAACCCCACCCGCTAGGGATTGATAACTGAAGTCTTCTGAGGGGATTTCCCTTCCAAGCAATAAACCTCTCTCTCCCTCTTTCCCCTCCTCGTTTTCCTACGCCAACAAGGTCGTTCAGTACAGGTAAAAGTGATATTAAAGGTTCATTTGTCCATTTCATTAGGCCTTTATATTTATTTCTCATTGTTTTCTGTATGAAACTATAACTTATTCTCTATAAAAATGTATTTTTGTTAATACTATTGGGTGTCTCGGAAAAAAAAGGATTAATTGGATTTACATTATTCTCCCCCTGTGGGAAATATAGTCCATACGAAATAATACGCCTTCCCCCGTATTCGTCAGACTTCTGGAACGAATTAATGACTAAAACCGAGCTCACTGTATTTGAGATCTAGGTAGTAGGTTTGTAGAAGCAGTGCCAGGGAGTACTACCGTCCCTGCCAAGTGGAGTTGTAAAACGGACGGCCTGTATTTGTTTTACACGATGGTGGATAGCTGTGGTTTTTTTTTTCTGTCTACGTACACATGCGAGATTTCAGGTACGTCTTGGCTACTTTATACACTTAGGTCAAGTACCATACATGTACAAACATTATATTACACACCCTTGGGCTTTTTCTATTTTTTTTTAGTTCTTGTTGTTCTTTATTCTCTTACCTCCATGGGGAAGTGGATCAGAATTCTTCTCCGTAAGGCCATGCGGTGTTGTAAGAAGCGCTAAAATGCAGGAGCAAGGGGCAGTAACCCCTTCTCCTGTATTATTACTAAATGTAAATTAGAGTTCTTTCCTTATTCTTTTTGGGCCCCCTGCCTTGGTGGGATATGGCCAGTTTGTGGAAAAAAAAAATTGGTAGGATGATGATTGTCTTTTTATCTGTCTCATACAGTGCCGCATATCCAGGTAACGTCTTGCTACTTCTACTTACACTTGGTCATACTTCACACTACATGTACATGCAGCTATATACACACCCCCTCTGGGTTTTCTTCTATCTTCTTACTAGTTCTTGTTTTTCTGTTATCTTCCACTGGGATGTGACAAGAATTTTTCCTCGTAAGCCATGCGTGTTGTAAGGGCGATAAAAGGCCAGGGAACAAGGGGTTAGAAACCCTTTCTGCTGTATACATTACTAAATTTAAAAGGAGAAACTTACCTTTTTCCTTTTGGGCCACCCTGCCTCAGTTAGGATAACGGAGGTTTGTTGGAAGAAGATATTTATGAGATGTCTAGTTGTCCCTATTCTCATGGTGAGCATTTGTGTAGGTGAGGCTCTTGAGTATTTTGCCGGAAAATTGTAAATGTGATACTCTAGATTATGTATACATTTGCCAATATAGAGTGATGAATTAGTAGATTAGTCTGGCCGAAATGCCTGGCAATGCTAGTGGTCTTCTTTGTAACAATGTTTTTTGTATGTAAACCATATATTGTAATTCTTTACAGAGAATTAAGCATTTCAATTTAGCAGGCTGATTTTTATATGACTAGTTTAAATGAAACAATCATGCTTAAGCTTTTTTGCTGTATATTTCATATGCTAGCGTTTAGTTGGTTAGACAAGCCTGACTGCCTAAATAAGTAATTTTAAAAAATCTCTGAATTTATATCTTTTTAATTAACATTTTTTACAGATTTCAAACTCTGCCCTTAAGCTAACTAACTATCAAATGAATACTCCTTGTTAAAGTTAGCTTTATTCTATTCAGGGAGAAAGCAGTAAAAACCGATAGCTGGTCATGCAACCCCCTTGAATGGGAAGGCAATCGGGTTTGATAAATGAGGCTAATATAATTTAGCTTAATCCTAACCCACTTGTATCTTAAGTCACCCTAGCAGCACTGCATTAACCCATACAGATTTATCCCCCTCTTTTTAATAGTGTTGATAAATAATTAGACCAGCTAAATTTAAAATAGCATTATTTAACAGGACTTTTTTTTTTTAGAATCATTTTTGCATTAAACGTGGCCCTTTCAGGAAAGTGCTTTTGCCCCTTGCAAAGTTCTTTATCTTAAGAGCTGGATTTTTCTTCCCTTGGCTTGATGCTGATTGCCTCTATTCCTCAGATGCTATGTGACCCTCTGGGTTGAGATTGGTTTCTCAAATTTAAAGTCAGATACAGCTGAATTTACATTATGTGTAAAACAGATTGATGACCTTTTTCTAACCCCCCTTGCCCCATTAAAGTAATAATTTTGTCTGTATTTTGGACTTTGCTTGTTTGTGAAACCCCATATTAAAGGGTTAAAAAATTTATCAAAGAATTCCACATCCTTAAAAATTTAGATAGTATCAGAATGCGCATTTATTACCTTCTTTCTGAGAGGAGTAAAGACAATACAGGGAGAAAGGCATATGCCTCTTCTTAGTAAGCATTGGATGTAAAAATGATGGGAGTAAGCACACACACACCAAAAAAATGAATGGATGTAAGGCAAGTCATTTGCAGGAGTGAAGATAGAGAAATGAAGCTAATAGCTTTGTAGGTACTACATTACAGTGAGAGTGGAGCCAGGATTAGAAACTTGCTGCAGGCGTTTATGAATGTTGTACTCACTGTTGGTGACCTTTATTTTTTTATGGGGGTGGACTGGTAACCTATATCTGCATGTGCAGTACAGGCCGTGGTTTACGGTTGTTAGTGGTCGACTGGAGCGCGGCATGATAAAGAAGGGATCTAGAGTGTGAGTTTCTTGGTTATGGGAGGAATTAAAGAGCACCATTACTGGTAGATTGAGATGTTCATCAGCCCTGGAAGAGGCTCAGGCTGGTGATCAATGGGAGCTCTTGTACGTGGTCTCAAGCGAGGATGAATTGGTAAAGGCATGGTAAGTTCTTCTGCTTGTACCTTGAATTAAATGTATGTTAACTCAGGTAAACCTGGAATGTGTGCAGATTTTGTCTAATTTCTATATACCACTACATATATTTATTTCTTCTTTATTCATGATCACAAGTGGATTGCTATTAATGTGTAGATTTAATACAATAAAGGGCCAAGCATCTGAAAGGATAGGGTGGATGTTGCAGCCATGTTGAATTGTGAATCCCCTACACGTCTGGCAAAATAGTCGAGTCATTTTACCTTGGGGGGAAATGGCTGTATTAAAAAACAAAAAAAAAATTATAATGAAGTTTATATACCATTTTGAGTGTATATCTGTCATTTTTTAACCCTTTCAGGGTCGCCAGGCCCTCTCCGAGACTTGTTCTCAGGTCGCCCAAATTAATAAAAAAAAAAATATTTTCTTATGAAAAGATAATCTTTTCCTGTCATAATGACACCAAAAGTATGAAATTTGATGGAAAAGTTACGGAATTATGCTCTCGCGAAGTTAGTGGACTCGGCGATGTTTACGCATCGTCGATTTTGCCACTTTGAGCTCTATTTTCGGCCAATTCCAGTGTACTAGTCGACAAAAATCATAACTATTTCGCTAGAACTCCATTTTTTCTATCAAATAAGTACAAGAAACCACCCATTTTACCGATTTTCAACTATCCAAGAAAGTGCTCAGAATTTAGAAATTTTGCCAATTTCACACAAACTTCAAAAGATGCCAATTTCCGAATAGGGTCCAGAATAAACAAGAAAGACATTTTGGCACTAAAATAACAACAAGTCTCTGTTCGTTAGTCACATCTCCAGGCCCCTCTTATATTTCTTTGGCTTTCCACTTTGAATTTTTATTCTTACAAAAAATAGAAGATTTACTGTTATGCAGACTACTGCATTAGTGTAGAAATGGTATAAATAATATCAGCGCACTTGTGAAAGAATATTAGACTCACCAGTTGACGTGTATTAGACGCTTGGCATGATTTGTTTACTTTTGAACTTTGGTAAAAAATTGAACATTTCTGCTACTTTGAGCTCAATTTCAAAGTACTTTTCATTGTAAAACCAGTCAAATCATTCAATTTCTGTAATATGTCTTCCATTCTATAAAATGAGATCAGAGGAAAACTAGAATACAGCCAT